AGTGGAGGAGCGTAGTGTCCTTGCGCCATGTTCTGTATGAGGAGATGGTATGCAGTCATGTGGACAGGTTAGGCTCAGATAGTGGGTTATGGATTTGATTCAGTAATCAGTAACAGTGATAATAATGGAATTCTCAGCCCCAAAGAGAGTCACATAAACTACCTTTAAAAAAATACACAATGCTTTTCATTTAGTCTGACAGTTTCTGTTCTTTTAAATTCCATATATGTAACACGGATTTATCTAAAATGAATAATTTTAGGTGTCAGTGGAACAATTCAGAGAACTCTTGTACATTATTTGAATTGTGGCTTATGAATTTTTATTGAATTGTGCACTATTTGGCAAGGTGGAATAGGCGAGAAACTGAGGCCCAGAGAAACAAAGCAACTTGGACAGGAGTGTGCAGCTCACAGTATTGGGGCTTAGACCCAGAGCCTGGCCTCCTTCTGTGTGGTCCTTACCTTTCTGTGCTCTCCATGTTCCATGTAGTACACTGTATCAGTGGGATGTGAAGGAAGATTGAGCCCTTTTTCCTCAGGAGTGTTTTGTGTGTAATCAAGGGAACTGTGTGGTCCTGTTACTTTACATTTTTAGTTACTTGGTAGTTTGATTAGTACAGAGATTTGCATCCAGATGAGCTTTTGTTAGAAGCCTCCTCAGAGTAAGTAAGTAAGCCTGGCGTGGAGAGGAGGAGTGGGGGTGAGGGTTCCCGTGCGAAGGGTCACAGGGAAGGCACTGTTTCTGAGCACATGAGACTCGTTTGGGAGTAGTGAGAAGCATATGCCATAACATTGCGCAGTACTGTTACAAGGTAATTTTTGTTACAGGCTGGTTAGGAATCTGACCATTCTTATTTTTACTGTGTCAGTACAAAGAATGCATTTGGTATTAGTGTACTTGAAACTGTAAAGGGGAGGGGGTTCAGAATACCCTTTTTGTTGTCTCATTTTCCCTCCACCTAGGTCTTTGGCAGCAGAAATGTAGAACGTGAAGAATAGGTATGGTGATGAAGTCAGGGTCAAGGAGAGAGCGCCTCAGAATAACTAGCAAGATTTAAATTTTATTCTTATACTTAGCCCTGTGGCCTTAGGATTAGACTAGTTCCATAATACCTATCCTTGTATCACATCAACTGTTAAAAATGATTTACATACTGTACTTGAGGTACCTAGGAAGCAACAGTTCTGTCTGGACTGTCATGTCTGAACTGTCCCAGAGTCAGAGAGGTTGGAAAGGCTACAGAAATACAAAAGCATTTGTCAGTACGTTAATTCTAGTTTGTATTCATGCGAACCTTGGCTGTCTGAGTGTGATTTGTCATATGTCTGCTTCAGGGATCCATCTCAGCATGCTGTAAAACCTGTTTTAAAAATAGGTATGTGCCACTCGGTGTCACTAAGGTTGGTGACACAATGGAAAAATCTGGTGAGTGAGTTTGCAGAGCACAGTGTTTCTGAAGAAAGGTTTTTTGTAAAACACGCACACAGATTGAATTTTTATTAGTATACCTCCATACAGATTAAAACTTAATGAGATAGTTTATTTTCATATTACCTTTTTAAATATTTGAAATTCATGTATGTAGCTTGATAAACAAGCCTTTCAGATTATCTTGTTTTGAGGCAGGCATTGTTTTTCCCTCATCTTTATTGAAGGTCATTCTCTTTTGGTTTCAATATTATTTATATATGAGCATTTAAATATTCCCAAAATTATTAAATATCTCATACTTGTCATAGATTTGTTGATAAACTTTCATATTTGTATATGAAATGTATATTTGCACTGTTGGAGGGGTAAGGGAAGGAGATTTATTTTGGTAGGTGATCTGGAAAGTTTTCAGCAAAGATTGTGTAAAGTAAAAGGTTGCTGATAAAAGTAGATATTCTCTCTCTCTTTTTTTTTTTTTTGATTGGTTTATTAGAGTCTGCATGGGGGGAGACTGATTAATTTGGAAAACAGAACTGTCTTGTTAAACAAACTTAATGAAAATGTAATGTAATGAACACTCGTGTAGCAGACTCAGTGTGGACAATCTGTAAAACAAAAAGTAACTAAAGTGAATGACTCTCCCCGAGACGCCAGCATGGGGACTATAAGCCAGGAAAGGAAAGCTTCTCCCCAGAAGCCTGTTGAGGGAAATGAAGGTCACCACACCTGACTGAGAAGCTGCCGATCTCCAATTCATGTGTATGTAGTTGAGGATTGACTTTGCGCTCTTACAATAAGGGGGAGCTATTTTTACTTTTATGTCAACAAAAAAAAATGATGGTATATGTGCTTGCTTTCAGTTGGTTTCTTATGCTTATCTCCCTTCCCCACCTCTTTATTCTGGTACTGGAGTTTGAACCTATAACCTTCACAATGAGCTACATTATTAGCCCTTTTTATTTTTAAATTTTGAGATAGGTTTTCTCTAAGTTGCCTAGCCTGGGCTCAAACTTGTGATCCTCTTGCCCAAGCCTCCTGAGTGCTACGATGACAGGCATGAGCCACCATGAGTTTTTGTCCAGTTCTTTTCCATATATATGGCCTTGAGTTTCACTTTGTAGACCAGGCTGGTCTTGAACTCTCGAAGATCTTTCCTGCCTCCACCTCCCAGGTTCTGGGATTACAGACAGGTGCCACTACACCTGTTGTTTTCCATGTTTAAACAAGAAATATGGACACCTCCCATTTCCTATACTGGGAATTTTTTTTGGGGGGGTTGGGTATTTTTCTTTCCTTTTTTATTAGTGTATGTTTGTACATTCATGTTAGGGAGGAGGGGCATGTATATAGCACAATGTGATCCTGTTTTAATCCCCTTATACTCCCCATCCTGGGACAGTATTAATTTAAAAATTTATTTAATTAATTTAAAAATTAATAATGAAAATTCTAATTTGATATCTATATGTTCTGGAGTATGGTAGGCATCTTACACATATTACTTATTGGCCACAAAAACCCTCTGAAGGGGTAAGTAGGTGTAGGTATTCCTGTTTCACAAGAGATGCAGTGGCTTCTTCAGAATTACCTTTGAACACTGCGAGTCTTTTCATTCTGTGGTCTTGCTCTTTCCATAATATCATGTTTTTTGACAAGAATTTCAGAACACTTGTGCGTGGATTTGATCCATTAAAAATGAAAGTATTCATATCTTAGGAAAGGTATTAAACAATTTGGTCTGTCAAAAATACAAGTATTAAAAAAATTCTACTTTCAACTAGAGGGTGATTGTCTGACATTTGTTCTTTTTTTAATTTTTAAAAATATTTATTGAGTGGTTAAAAAAGCATCAAGAGGGCCCACAAGATAGCTCAGCAGTATAAGCACTTAGCTGGCAAGTACAAATGACATTTATCCTTTTTTTTTGCGGAATCGGGGATTGAACTCAGGCTCTTGCACTTGCCAGACAAGCGCTTATCCTACTGAGCTATCTCCCTAGCCCCAGATATTTGTTCTTGATAATAGACTTAATTATATTTGAATCCTAGTGTGTTCTGGATCTGTAATCCTTCCTTTGTTTTTACTGTTGCACGCTACTGATATGGCCTTTCTGTGGCTGGTATCTGTGTGTATCAGAATTGGTTCAGCAGTGTGCTTTGTTCCTGTGACCTCCTGAGATCTGGTGTGGCTTTGGGCTATTTATTTAATTATTTATTTCGTGTGTGTGTTTGTTTTGTTTCGAGAATGTTTAACATGCCCTGAATTTTAATTTTTTCACCATAAATTTATGTATTTGGTACAGGCTCTCACTCTGCAGCTCGGAGGGAGGACTGGCATAGCATGTGAACTCGGTCCTTGCGCTTCCAGGCGCGGCTTAGGCCTCTGAGCTATTTCCACGGCCTCTTGGCCTGGCCTTGGTGATCTTCGGTTGTGATGAGTGCCAGGGTCAGTTTCTGGTTTTCACACTATTATTGGCTTATCCTTAAACGATGTCAGAGAAGCTGTCCAAGCTAGTGTTGTCCTGTGACTAGAGGAGCATTCTGTAGTAGGCTGGGCTCAGGGTGAAATCCCCTTTAGGGCCAAGGAACAGTTAACTTTAGGGCCCAGTGCTCTGTTAGGCACACAAGATAGGTGCGATCTTCTGTGAGAATGGTGTGTGCTTTGTAAATAGCCAAATTTATTGAGAAGATCTTAATATTATTTATTTCTTTGAGACAGAGTCTCATTATGTAGTTCAGGCTGGGCTTGAGTTTACTTTGTGTCCCAGGCTGGCCTTGAGCTCTTGGTGATTCTCCTGTTTCAGCCTCCTAAGTACTGCAATTACAGGTATGTGCTACTACACCTGTCTATTTCTGTGAAATTAACTGTAGTCTTGGCTTAGTATTTTATATACATTTTGTTATTTATTTATTTATTTGAAACAGGGTCTCTCTGTGCAGTTCAGGCTGGCCTTGAACTCACTTTGTAGCCTAGCCTGGCCTTCAACTCTAAGTGACCCTCCTGCCTCAGCCTCCCATGTGCTGGGATTATAGGCAAATGCCACCACACTAGCCTAATATAAATTTTAAACTTATCTGGTTATTTGATTTTAGTTCATCTTTTGTTTACTGAGTATCAAGGAAAATGATGATTATAGGTGTTGGCATTTCTATCAGTCCCTCCATTAGCAGCAGTAATTACCCAAGTTCCTTGGTAGAAAGCGTGGCAAAATTGATCTGTAACTAAGTGAGTGGATTGGTTTCTATTACCTGTGAATGTATAAACGAAAACCTTCCAAAATAACTTTGGACATTCAGAGACTTGATTAAAATGTTCAATTTGCTTACCAAACAATTCATCCTATTTTGTAAGAACATTCAGATAGTGTATTTACACAAAAAGAAGCCTAACTAATTTTTGTTTACTTAAGAGAACCTGTTGCTAAAATAGTAATGAGTCAGGGTGTAATACAAGTATAGTCACACGTCCCTTGCTCTGTAAGTAACCAGAGTGCTGTGTGTGCCTGCTCTCCGGTCACTCTAGGAAGGCAGAAGCGAACTCACTGGCATGCTTTTTCTCTGTTGCAGCCTAAAATGTCGAATGTGTAAATTCAGTGGAATAAATGGCGTCCAAAGTCACAGATGCTATAGTCTGGTATCAAAAGAAGGTAAGTTGATAGTCAAAGTTTTTAACTTTCAGAATGTTTTAATTTCAAAACTCCATGTTTATTTTGAGGAATAACTTTATGTTAAATAATGTCCAAAATAATGATAAAGTTAGATATTTAGGCTTTTGAACAAAAAGAGAAGACTAATTTTTGCTTATGCTTAACTTCTAGTTAGGATTATGCCTAAAAATACTTCTCCTCTACTTTTTACTCCATGATATCAATGTAGCTGGATTAATTGCTGTCAGTTAAAATAAACAGCATATAATTAGAATTATGTAAAAAGCATTAAATGTTTTCTTATTTTTTTAAAGGATCAGGGTTAGTAAAAGTTATAATTTTATTACCATTTTATAACAAGAGAGATGGCCATTTTTAATTTGTTGTAAGTTAACTTAATAGCTGAAATTTTTCAGTAAAGTAAGCCACTCAGATTGTATTTTCTAAATTGAAATATAAAATGTTTAGTTTCATGCTTCAGAATTACCTGTCATAATTACTTAACTGTCTGTGTCAGCCAGTGTCTTTCACAATAAGCTTAATCAATGTGATTCTTTCCTTTATAATAAAAAGAAAATATGACTTAAAGCTAAATTGTTCACTGTTAAAAAAGTTTCCGTATTTTAAAATGTATGTTATTTTATATCTTACATTTTTTCATATGTGTAGTGAATTGTGTTTATTTTTACATCTTGAAACATTTTTGATGCCTTACTTAGATTTTTTTTTTATTTTTATTTATTTGAGAGAGAGAGAGAGAGAGAGAGAGAGAGAGAGAGAGAGAGGTGTGTGTGTGTGGCCAGCTCAGCCCACCAGGGGGCGGGGCTGGCTGGCATGTGGTGCTGGGGGATTGAACCGCGGTCCCTGATGCTTTGCCAAGCTTGTTCTAAGTAGGTGCCTTAGACCACTGAGCCATCTCTCCAGCCCCTTAGATTTGTATTAACAAAATATAATTAGACATTTGAAGCTTTTTTACTAGGGAAAATCAATTTTTAGAATTAGTTGAATTGGATATGTGATAATTAAAACACATATCCAATATTAGATAAATCTAATAATGCAGTCCATCTTTGAGTGTGTTATTTATTTCTGGGTAGACCATACTGTACATACATAATACTACATTTTTCATGAAAGGTACTTAATTGGAAGTAATATGCCAATCTATGATTGAGTCAGTTTTTTTGGTCCTATGTAAATGTAACCTTTAATTGTAAATTTCTAATAAACTTAAAAACCTGTCTGCCTAACTAAACAAGTGAACAAAGGGAAAACAAGCCAGATTTAACATGTGTCTTTGCAAGATTTTTTTTTTTTCTTTTCTTATTTCTGCTTATGGGAGAAATGTTTTGAAACATTTTCTCTGCTGGCTTTTTGTGTGAAACATTTGGGACTGAAGAGCATGTGTGGAACGTACTGTACTTGGCTGACCTTTCTGGGGATGGGAGGGCTTGGAATTTTACACTCATACACAGTTAGCGCAGGGACACTGCTTTTATGTGAGGGGCATTTACCTAGCAGCTTTGAGTGTGTGCAACCAACAGTTCTCCAGAGCAGCCTTAACAAACGTGGAAAATATACCAGGAGATACCCTCATGCATTTTATGTTAGGCAATTACTAGAACCATTAACTGAATTTCATTGGCTCTGTTTTGCTTTTAAATACTTTAAAGGAATACTATTTCAAGGCATACTGCAAAAGGAAAAGAAAAAGAAAAAGACAGCAGGTCCCATCCTCTAGGGCCTTCCCTTACCCATAACAAATTCTGAATTCTGCTGCCTAGGGGCAGTCATTTTAAATTCTTTAGTGGTTCTCAAGCTGAAGTTCTGGAACTCTTCATGCCCATAAGAGGACGAGGGTTACAAATATGAGGTGTGAGGTTTTACTTTTCGTAATTACTTCAGAAGGAGATTGGCATTATGAGTAGATGGCACATGGCTCTGGAGTAAATAGTTGATCCTCTGAGGTCTGCGGAGTGCCTGTCACAGTTACCTCCGTTGCTAGAGTACAAGACACAGCCACAAGCAATATGTGAGATGGATCTGCATGGCTGTGTTCACATAAAAATTAATTTGCAAAACAGGTAAAGCTAGGTTAGGCCCATAGATCTTAGTAGCCTCATTGCATAAGGATTTTCCTTCTCAAAAGTGAGTAATACCCTGTTAAATAATGTTAGTTTTTTGTTTTTTTTTTACTGTATTTGCTGTATGTTTTTAAACATGCCTACCTTTTCTTGGTCATTTCATTGTAGGTGTTATTTCTGACTATGAAAATGTTTTAGCTTTTTTTTTTTTTTTTTAAAATAAGCTTTCCCTATGCCTACTTCTGTTCTGAGTGACTACAAATTTTGGTGAAGTTGTGTGTGCATCATGCATGTGTGTAGCCTGTGAGGCTCTATGATGTTTCCAGAGTCCCTGATAACTGCTGCTCCATAAAGAGTCATCAGAAGCACTTTGGGGCAGGAACAAGGTGCTTATAGATAGAAGGGGGAAAGTTACAGAGCACAGGAGGAGGAATGCTCCTGCCTGACTGAGAGGAAGAGGAAAGCTGCAGGCGTGTGTGGTTCGGGGTGGTCGGCGCCCTGGGCTGTGGGCAGCTCTCAGTGGAGCTGGAGATGAGTACACTGCCCTCCTCTGCCAGCCCTTAGCACCCATAAGGCTGTACCTTGGCTGTGCATTTTACTGTGCTAATAAAGTAAAGGTTACCTGAGTGATTTTTCTCTGCTTGTGTTTGACCTCTGCCATCTGGAGTTTGTCCCTGACTACCTGAGAAAGTTCCTAATTGGGTTTTGGAGCAAGGCAGATCACTGTACTGCCTAAGTGGGTTTGATTGTAGTGATCGTAGTGTTTTGTTGGAATTCTGCTTTGATGTATGTGTTTGCTTGTTTCTTTTTCCTTCTTGGCATTTTTGCTGTTGTGATTTTGAAGGCTGAGCTGATTTTTTCTCATCCTCCCTGCTGGTGTGTTATCTTACTTTGTAGCCTTGAAGATTGTTTTTCTCTTTAGCTCTCACTTTGCCACTGTGTCTGTTAACTCACAGGTTGAGGGCCAGCTGAGCCGACTTGGCACCTGAGCCTGTGTCTGAGGACCCACAGGTCCCCATGAGGCCCTTCCCTCCCTTGGCATGGTCAGTCTGCAGCCTGCTGCCTGCTCTGGCCTGAGTTCTGCCTCAGAGCTGCTATCTTGGGTCCTTTTCACATCAATGCCTCTCTCCTCACTGACCTTAGGGCATATGGATTTGGTTTTCTTTTAGGTATATGCTTATTAATCCTTTTTGAGCTAATTATGCTTTAGTAAAAAGAAGGCTTGAGTACAGAAGCAGATACTTGCTGAATATTTGATCATGGGCAAATTCTTTGAGCTTCTGCTTCTCTTCTCCACAATGATTAGATTGGTTCTCAGCATCTTTTCAGTTATAGTTCCCTCTGAGATTGTGATGCAAGCCAAGGATCTTATTTTGGGGGAAAATATATCTAATGTTCATATATATATATAAAATGTTATGCTTGATTTAGAACCCAGGTTAAAATGTCCTGGATTAGGTGATTTAAAAGTTTTTATATTTTAACCTTGTTTTTTTGTCCATCATTCAGTAGTAGCCAGCTTATATTGCCTGGTATCCCTCATTGTAAATAAAAAATAATATTGACCATGTTAATGAGTATTTATTTATCTGACTCATTTTGGTCACCACTGTTCTCTGGTGGAAAACAGTGACATTTTTGTATGTTTCTGCTGAGTACTGAACTAGCCAGCCCCAATAGCCACTACTTGATTTGTAAACTGTTTTGAAAGTAAATTCTTATATGAAATGTGAAATTTCCAGGAAAAATATAACAAGTTATGTGCCAGTATTATAAATGCATAGAAATTAAAATTAAATATCAAGTATCTTTCAGCAAGTTATTCTGTGCATAGTTTATTCTGAGATGTTTGAAGTCCCTTGCTATTTAATTTTAAAACATGTACTGTTCTAGTCATCATAATCACAAATCACTCAAAAATTCCTGTTGTTACAAAGTAATTTTTAGTTATTAGCCTGGAAGAACACATCATGAGTAGCAATGGAGACACTAAAATACTTTCTGATAACTAATGGGCTGCTGAGTACCTTTTTTTTTTTTAATAACAAAATACTTTGTTTTTGTGTTTCTGGTGTCTCCTTTCTTTCTTCCTTTCTTTGTTTTTTTTTTTTTTTAAGATGTATTTGGTACTAGGTCTCACTATACAGCTCGGACTCATAGTGATGCTCCTGTTTGCAGCTTCCCCGGGGCTGGGATTATAGGCACATGCCACTGTGCTCAGTCTCGGTGACCTGCTCAGTGCACCTGAGGGCAGGGCCAGAGTGGCATGTGGTGCTAGGAATCGAACCCTGATCCACTTAGTTCATTGGGCTATCTTGCTGGCCTAGTTTCTCATTTCTTTTTCTTTTTCTTTTTTGCTTTCTTTGTTTCTTTTTTTTTTTTTTTTTGAGATACTGAGGATGGAACTCAGGCCCTTGCCCTTGCCAGGCAGTGCTTATGGCACTGAGCTATCTCCCCAACCCTAGTTTCTCATTTCTAAGGAGAGGGAATTGTTTATTACCCAGAATGGGGACCTGAGAGCTGGGGATAAAGCTCAGCGGGACCAGTGCCTGCCTGGCAAGATCAAAGTCCTGAGTTCGATTCCTGGTTAAAAAAAAAAAAAAAATCTAGTTACAGAATGGAGACTTGCTTGAAGTTTTATGGGTTCAGATATACTGGGCACAGGCCAGGGAGATAGTTCAGTAGAATAAGTGCCTTCCTGGCAAGTGCAAGGTCCTGTGTTCAATCCCTAGTACCACAAAAACAAAACAAAACAAAACAAAAAAACCAAAAACAAACAAACAAAAACTGGTATTCCTTTAAAATAATGACCAACAGGATTCTCTTTCGAATATATAGGTCAGAGTAGAGTGAAGTTCTATTTTCAAGAGATGAATGATAAAATAAGGATGGCTTACAAATACCCCCGATGTAAAA